TGTTATTTTAACCGAATTCGAGCGATCGATATTTATTTGAACAACCTGCATTTTTTTGGTTCTCTATTTATAGCGTACACTAGGCATTGATTGTGCAACTTATGAAAAGTGTAATTATCTCTTCGAGCTAGGCGATAAAAAATTAATTTGTCTCGGTTGACCGTGAGAGACGGATCGGCGCAAATACACAACGGCGTCCTGACAACTGATTAATCGCGCATTTTTTTTTCGTTTCGCGCACAAAGAGCGTACCAAATTCGCGCGGGAGCGAGAGAAACCCGTACACACACACGCGATGGTGTTCGTATTTTGCTTCGTACACTCGTGAAAAAGTGAAAGAAAGAGGAGAAAGAAAAAAAACGATCGTGCTATGCCGCTCTCCATCCTTTCGTTCGTTCTTTTCAATTGATTGAAAGAAGTTGGAGAGGAGAATGCGTGCGTGAGGAAGAGGAGAGAGAGAGAGAGAGAAAGAGAGTGGAGAAAGGGGGGAAGGGAACGAGTATAACGCAAGCCAATGCAATCACATTTTTTCCTCGACGAAAGACGGACCTTTTTACGACTCTGTAGATACGAAACGCGAATGAACTTGCATTTCCTACTCTATTTTCCCATTACGCTTTTGATATTAAGTGGTTTGGCGGATTAATTTTTGGTTCGAAAGACTGCTCTTTCGACTCCTTTTTTACCTTAAATTTTTTTTTGCCCGCTCAAGACTCTCTTCAGCTATATACCCGAACGTTTACTCCAAAGTTCGTGTTTATTCACTCGAGCATCAAATTTAGCTGAATTTCTCGTTCCTCAAACTCGTATAAAACCTTTTTTTTCTCCATATCTTTCACTCTTAGATTCGCCAACGAAAAAATACAAAAAAAAAAAAAAAAAAACAACGACCTTCGTCAGCCGGTCCTCCACATATGCATATTATGTTGTACGGCCTCGCGAAGGAAATTTTTCGAAAGCCGCAACGCCGTATACATACACAACATAAATCGGGGGCGATCGCGCTGGATAATTTTCTGTCTCTTTCGTGGGCGTCGAGCGCGCGGGCGCATTACATTATATTTATATATTCCACATGGTATATAACGTAATAATAACGAGAGCAGCGATCGGGCGACGCGCGTAATAATAATCCGCGAAACTCTGTTGCGCGCCGGTCATCCGTATAAACTCATGATACTGCAGCATTTAGCAGAGCTGCATCGCTGACAGAAAGAGAGAGGAATCGCGTTGAGTAATTTTCGTCTGGCTTCTTTCTGAAATTGAATTTCGTGTCGCAACGTTTAATTTTTTTTTTTTTCTGTCTCTCTATCTCTCTGCCGCCCTCGTGCATTAACGTGTGTATATAATACGAAGCGATTTCGCATTGCAGCGTTGAAATATATATTACGCGCATTTAATTAGTCGAGAGATTCAAAAAGTACGATTTACGTGCAGTCGACGTATGCAACTCGGTCGCCGGCTCTGCGCAGCAGCCTTTTTACCTGAGGGCCTCGGCTCGCGAAACTGTGTTTCACGTACGCGCGCGCTTGCTCCTTTTTTTTTCATCCTTATATTTTACTTCGCGTATTATATCAATTCATACGTGCCATACGTGCCCGGCGTGCCAAACGTCTACCGAGTTTTGTCGTACGTATACGAGTAAAACTCGATATAATACATAATACATTATATTATTCGTTGAGAAAGACGAATTCTACGAACTCATTATGTCCTCGCCGATATAAATTGTATATACGGGGGTAATTCATTCATTGTGCACGCGCATAACGTACGTAAATTTTTACGTCTCTATCACTCTTTTTGTGTTCGTAATTTACATACGTCTAAAACAATATTTCAACTTCTACGAATTTATGAACTTATCGCAAGTATATGCGCGCGAGCTTTAAAAATGGAGAAAAAAAGGAGTCGAGCAAGGAATTTTGCGAGCATAAATCCAGGCGCTTGATCGACTTTTTACGATTCTTTTTCTTGCTCTTTCTATGTATTAGCTTGTTCATATATGTGTGCATACGGCTCTCTTGAAAATCGACATCATAGCGAGCGAGATTTATGTCACGAACGCGCTTACATACACACCGGTATATACGCGTACCTATATATATATTATTTACACAAGCGGCATGCGCACTAGCACATGACTGAAGTGATAAAAAAAAGTTGTATATATAGGTCTTATCGTCATTATCAACGGTAACGCAGCAGAAGCAGCAGCAGCAGCAGCAGTAGCATCGTTATCCTTGTACGCGCTTGTGTATATCTTACAAGCATCTTTATACGAGCTTTTCGTCTACGATAATTTTTTTTTTTCTCTCTCTCGACTGTAATACTTTTTCGCGCTTTGGCAGATCGCATTTTTTATCATCCTGCTAACGCTATTACCGGCAGCTATAGCCGGAGGACCTTGAAACGAGCAGAGACAGAGAGAGAAAAAACGGAGCTACTAAGCAGCCGCGACTTTTTTTATCGGTTTCTATATATCTCTCTCTCTCTCTGTGCAGTATATATACGCGGCATCGTCGCAGTCAAGTCGTCTATTGCGATGCGACGACGACGAACGGGCAAAAAGTAAATATTGCCGACGAGAGGTGGTGCGTGAGCGATCGTTAGCATCGTTATGTACGCGCGCATACAGATACAGAGACACGAATACACGCACACGTGTGAGAGCTGCTGGCTGTATATAGGTATACAGCGAACGCGTTCGAGTCTTCGCTAATTCGGTCCGTCTCTAAAAATATCTAATTTTTTTTTTCCTCAAGACCTTCGGTCGAAAAACTAGTTGTTTGTTGTTACTTTTTTTTTGCTACCGTTCTTCTTTTTACAAATCACGTACCGACGGTGTGATAATTTTTTTGTTGCAAGTCCATCGATCGATCAAACCCGGTACATTGGTAGCAATAACAAGCTCGCGCGTATACCACGTTTACATTTTATTTGTCGTGTGTGCGTGGTGTTATCGCAATTAATATAAACACTCATACAGAGTATAGAGAGCGAGCGAGAGAAAAAGAGAGAATAATCCGCCTACCGAGAGCTGCATAACGCGCGCTCGTATACGAAGATTGCATAATTTGCAGTACATAAAGTCGTGTGTATGTATGTATATGATGTTTAACTATATATAAACGTGCACATGTACACGAGCGACACACATACGCGTATAGCGGCGCGCAGACTGGAAAATTTAACGATTTTCGTAACGACGCGTTGATTTTCATAAACAGCACACGAACTTCTGCTGGTATATACTCTGTCTTACTGTTGCTGCGTTGCGTTGGTTTGTGCGTGTGCGTGCGAGCTCGCGCGAGGCAGAGGCGGCTGCTGCTGCACACATACACACATACGCATTTACACACACGCAGAAGAAGCAGCAGCAACAGGGAGAGGCACAGTTGCACGAAAGCGAATCTGCCAAGAAGATGCCGTATAATATGCATAACGTCGGTGCGTGTATAATCATAATGACCATCGCAGTGGAACTTCTTCTATATTTATATCTTATCTCTCTCTCTTTCTAGGCCCTAAAACCGCACACGAGATATTTTCAGTCTTTAATAAACCGGGTCTTTTGATCTTAGACTTTTGCAGGCACGGATACACGCGTATACGCACACGTACGCACATTAGCAGATTCGCACGGAAGCATTGGCGATGCAAAATGTTTACGTTATATTATGTACGCCCGCGACGACCGAGTATTTATTTATTCGTCCGCGGCCTCGCCCTCCGTAAATCCGACTCGCTTGTTTATAAACTCGTAAAAAAAAGAAGAAGTAAAAAGAAAGAGAGGAAGAGAAAAAGAGTTCACGTTACGAACCGTACGATAACGTCTCTCGTATTATTTTATTACCGATGACGCCTCGCATATACGCATTCGCGAGCTGAATGACACGCACACGCGCGCGCGTAAAAGTCGAGAGCACATGACGGATTTTTAAATAAAAATACTATACGCATGCGGACGTTACAACTTTTCGTGCACATCGCGAGCGTAGTACCGTAAGGTACTTTATTCGACGCGACCTAACCTAACTTTTCGAGCGAATCCCTTTAGGTCGTGTTATTATCATCATTATAGCGTATACGTTTCGCTAAAAGTTGGCCTTCTTTCTCGCTTCCTCCTATACATTCATACATCGAGCCCTCGACGCTCTTCGTTCTTATAGGTCTAATTATAAGATAAAAGTCGTGAATGGAATCTCTTTCTCTGAATGAATCCAAAACAAGAACCGAGATGTCAAATCGCGTGCGTGCGAGTTTCTCATAGTATACTGCTTGTGCACCTTGTATTTAATATACATATATTTCGGCGATGTCAAAAAATATACAGCCGGCATAAATCTCGTTTTAATGTGCGTGTGCGCGCCGTGTGTGTGCTGTGCTGAGGCTCGCCTCACTGTCTCCGTATTTATATCCAGTTTCAGAAGAAAATAAGAAAAAGAAACCTCAACTCCAAAAATATCCCGCTGCTCACGGGTTATAATAGGTACATAAAAAAAAGATAAGCGCAGAAACAAAAAAATAAAAAATAAAAAAAACGAACACGTGACAAGTAGTACGTATGCTTATGTACACTGCAGAATCTGACGAGGACGAAAAAGATGCCGTAAATTCGAAGCTCTCTGCGTCTCTTTTTGTCTTTCACGCGCTCGTATAAGCCATCGAGGATGTGACGCGCGCGCGCACACGCTCGTCGTCGTTACAAGAGGGAAAAGGGTTGGATTGCAGCGATGGGTTCGGCGGCGCTAAAATAACCGGCATCGTCGCGCGCGCGCACACACACTGATGTACAGGCAAACATACAATCGGAGTTTACCGTGTATAGTTAGTAATAGTATACAGCAGTGACTTAATATATAAACAAACGTGCCAGCGGGGTTTTGCCAAATTGACATACAAAAGTCAGCTTCGTCTTTTTACAAAGTAAACACACGAAAAAAGAACGAATCCAAGAAACGATGTTCTCGTTAAAATAAAAAAGTTTTCATATTTACCAAAAGTGTGTCGAAGATGCAGCTCCGGATACGAAGCGCAGCGTTACAGTAGTAGTAGTAGTAGTAGTAGCAGCGCGGCTATATATATTCGTCGGCGGTGCTCTGCACAGGGCGGCCTGTTGCGTATGTGCCGAGGCGTGTGCAGTACAATATAAGGACAGTCTCTGTCTCTATCGCTTCCTCCGCGGTACAGTCGGCGTTTTTACGATTCCGCACGCACACGCGTAGGGTTACAATATTATTAAGGCACGGTATAAATACAACGAAGGCGTGTGTAGCAGGAGAATCTCGCCCGCACACGTATACAACACTTTTAATGCGAGGCACTTGCACACTTGCACACTTGCACACGATGACGACGATGATAAAGAGAATCAAGCCCAAAACTATACAACGATGCGAGTTACGTTCGAATTCTCAAGAACGATGCATCGCGTGTATTGCCGCCGATTTGCAAGACAACAACAAACCGGATTGGTATATAGCTTTTTGACAGCTATCTCATAGACTCTCAAAGGTTGCGCGGCTTATTTAGCGCAGTTTCATTCGATTGAAGCTCCGCGATGACGCATAGCTGTAACGAGAGCGATAGCAGTGATTGCGGATTTTCGTCATTGTTGTCGTCGCGTAATCCTCGGCTGCATCATCGTCTGGCGGCATCATCGTGTTCGTCGGCCCGCATAAGTCGTGCGGCATCTATATAGACCATGTTATAATTTTTTTTGCAAAAGACAGAAGATCTTTTTCTCTTATCCCACTGCACGCGTCTCGTGTATTTGATACACACACACACACATACACTGCACACGCGTGAGCGGACGCAAGCGCGAAAAATGAAAACGATAAAAAATAAAATAAAAGAAGTAAAATAATGCAGCGAGCAGCGACCTTTGTGCGCGTATATATATGCTGCTATATATACCTTATCGTATATAATGGATAAATACACACACACGCGGACTTGTAATCGACGAGAGAAGCACAGACGACGCGAGTTAATGCGATACTAAAACAGTCCTCCACGGGGCAGTCACAGTCTGCTTGCTGCTGCTTCATGCGCCTTTTCTCCCGCCGCGCCACACAGCTCCAAGCATCATCCGTATATGTGTTTGCACATACATGTATATAGGTATATATTATGTATACAATATTCTCTTTCTGTCGAGGCAGCAACGCACGCTAAAACCTGATACACACGCGCGCACACACACACACACACACACACACACACATTCGCGTACATGTAAACGAGTATGTATTCGTGAGTGTGTGTATCGGCGCGGCGGCAACGGCGGACGGCAGTGGTGGTGGCGGCGGCTACGAGCCGAGCAGCGGCCGGCGCGCGCGGACGAGAGCGAGAGTGTGTGTGCAAAATATATATGTAACGTACGAAACGGCAGTGCCGCCGCTGCCGCGCGAGAGAGAACGAGAAAGACTCTTTGTGGGTAGGCATACACGACGGCTGCATTGCCATGTTACATATATATATATATACCGACAGTATGCACACACACATATATAAAATGCGAATGTCGTGGTGGCGGTAAGCCGCGGCCGAAGAGCGCGGCGCGGACCAGATGCTGCTCGCGCGGACGATGATGCTGCACGAAGCCTATACACTATACACGAAGTGGGGTGAAATGAATCGAGAGAGAGAGAGAAGGCAGATGGCACGACTCCGGGAGAGTCTCGCGTGCTTACTGTTATGGCTCCAACGTTATAATAATCATGACAATAATACATGTACTTTGCATCGTGGTACACTGAACAGCATAGAGAAACCGAGACCGGTCGATCCAAACCGAACGCGCGGCACAAGTTCGGATAAAAGCTGCAGTAACAGCAGCAGCAGCTTTATATACAGATATATTTATCTGCACATGTAAACCGTGACTTGTAAAATGTATAAGAGGCGACTCGCGGTGCTCGCGTGGACAGGCTGCCGCCGCGCACGCGACCGTCGTCAGCTGCTGCCGCTGCTCAGGGTACTTGAGTCGCGGGTTTATTTGTAAAAAGCGGAAAAATCGAATCATTTCGGCATCTGTTTTAATTTATTTTTGAAATCGAGACCGTCTTCGCAGCTTTTCTTTTCACCTCGACAGATGAGAATCAATAACACTTATTTCGATCTTTATTACACCTTTTTGATGACTTAGGCTCGATATAATTACTTTCAGTTTGAATAACGAAAAGTAGTACGGTGTCAATCATAGCTACTTTATTTTTAATCTATATCACAGGTCTGCTTATTTAAAGTTTAACAAGAAATTTACTTTTTACATTTGGCCAGCTTGCGTTGTACTTTCGTTCTCTTTATTGTACTGTCCCCATTCAGGAAAAGTGCAATCTTTGAAGTCTTTGTAAGTCATTGGTCTCATCGAAGGTGGTAGATCTGCACTGTTGTGTAATCCATTGGGTAAGGGCCACGGATTGTAATCTTTTATTTCAATTTCTTCTGGAGCTACTGTATCTTCAAAGTACTCCTTTGTTATCCACTCTTTGTCAGGGAAATAGAAAACTGGATCTGCATTTTTTGAAGCCACTGAATGCAACAAGAAATTATTAAGTATTGGCTCTTACATAAAGGTGTTAAGGAAATGGTACAAATGGTATTTTTATTACCTATGTATTGCAAGTATTCTAACTGATCCCTAGTGTAATGAGAAAATCTGCAAGTTGCTCCAAATGGACATTGTCCTTCTGTGGCCAATCTACGGCATGGTATTTTAGAGCTTTCTTCTTGCAAAACTTCTTCAGGTGCTGAAATAAGTATATCAGTTAGAACAAGAATCATAAAAGATTTAAGAAATGAAGTTTATACACCTTACCTTTGAAAGGTTTGTAATAATCTGTGTAATTTTTTGCATGAGCAATACTTGTAAGATGCTTCTGTCGAGCATTCTGAGCATCCTTGAAGGTTCGCTTACAGTAGTCGCAATAATACTTTTTACCACCCATGGCTATTCCTAGTTGTCAGGCAAGAACTGAAAAAATAATCAAAATAACTTGTAATATTTTCATCTACGCTCTAACTCGTTCGTTGCTCCTAATAATTTTAGTTATCTACGAAAATTATGTCAGGCATCTCTCAGTCATAAACCTTGAGATAACAATGAAAATTTGAAGCATATATAAACGCCACCAGTGCTTATGCTTATGGTGTGTATGCGCATGTATAAGAGCACAACGCGTACAAACAACGTCCCGTAAACAAACTTTTCCAACTACTTCTCGCGTTGTGTACACGTTAATTCACTTATATCATACATTTCACATGCGAGTGCATGGCAAGCATTAGATGCAACAAACAAGCGCTATTTTCCTCGCTCGACCTGAAATAATAATTATCTATCCTGCGTCGGCGTGTCAAAAAACTCTTGATTAATTCTAAAACGACTGTCTTATATCACTGCGCTTTACCTTGAAATAATAATTATGTATCCTGACAGCGGTGAATTTTCGATGTGCAGCACACACACACTGCGTGTTTATAATTTTGTTTACCAAAACTCGTGCCTGTGTCTAGCAGACAGCTTTTGTGTGTACACTGCTTGTGTTATGTTGTACGGCGTGCGGCGTGGTGGCTCTCTTCTCTCTGATCTGACAACTCTCGGCCTCAGGTTAAGTTGACTCCGCTCCGGATCGAACATGCTCACGCCATCTATAATTTCAGTTTGACATGATACACTCATGTGGCTGATCGTGCTGCGAAATGAGCAAGCTCGAATCATCGTTTTTTTATTCTCTAATAAGTAAATGAATCGATCGATTGGGTGTATAATTAAAGTACAAGACTGCTTTAATGGTAGGTGATTAGTTTATTTTAAACAAACAGGTTATACATTTTTTTGTTTTATTTCATTATATAATATCCATCGTTAATTTTTTTTTGTTTTTTTTTTCTCTTTGTATCGCATTAGTGCATCGATATTATCACCGAAATTCATAATTTCTTTTCTTCGTTCGTTACACTGACAGGATAGTATCGCGAATCGATCCGTAAGGAGAAGGCGGAGGAGGATAATTAACAAAATAAATCAAAGATCGCACGAACGCACAAAAATACAATGTATACCGCCCGGAGTTAGTAAGCCGCGAGTTTTGTCTGATTTTTTTATTATCGTTTGTTGTTATACATATCATAATGATTATTATTACAAGTTCAAATGAATCACAGGCGCTTCGTCAGCGTTTGGGTAATTTTCTGTTGCATCGATAGTACAATCATATACATTTTTGTTACATTTATGTACGATTAGGCACCAACGGGGCCACGCGCGAAAACGTGCATTGACTAATTTCTGGAATATCTCGTTCATCCGTTCGATACAGTAATCTCTAAGCTTTTTTTGCAATGAAAATTGATACATCCCCGTAAATAGGTTACACAGATAATACAGTAATATTACGTTTCAATAATGGGCATGGTTCGATGCCTTATCTTTTGTTCGAAGCTAAAAGTAAGAATTTTCACATCAAAATTTTCCGTGCCGCTATGTGTACGTGGATGGGTCGATGTATACATTATATTTATATGTAAAACTTGACTTTCGATCCTTGGTTATTTAAATAAAAAATGCAAGTATGTACACACAAGCGCCAGTAATGCAATAAGTGTACGGATAATGAAAAAAAAAAAAAAATGTCGAGAGAGCTTACACACACGGGAGGTGTTCTCGAGAGCTGTCGAGAGAGAAAAAAATCAATATCAATTTGGCCTAGATGCACCTATAAAAAAAATTGCGCGTATAATAACGGACTTTACACCGTCGCATATATACACGCACACGTGTACGCAGCACAGAGTCCGAGTACGACGACGAGATGGAAGAGATTGCGGAGTATATATAGCGGAGGGAAAAGATGTACCTCGTCGAGTTCGCGTTGAAACACTTTCTTTGGTCGTCGCAGTTGTTCTCCGTCTTTGCACTCTAAGCCTGTTCTCTCTCTATATATATAACAAAAGGTCGAAGTTCGCGCGCACTTCCGCGAGGCTAGTCCCTCTCTCTCTCTCTACACTCTCTTCCGTTGTAACGTCACCGCTGCAACGGCACGAGGAGGGGCTTATATTGCACTTTCTTATTTCGCCCCTTTTCTTTTCTACTTTATTTATTTTCCCCCCTTTTTTTACGTGCTCGACGCGCGAATTTCATACTTTTCAATTTAACATTATATCTTTTTTTCCATTACTCCCGATACTCGCGCGCAAGAAAGATTTTTTTCTGCTCTCGTCGTATTCCTCCAAAGCTCGTTTGCCGCAATCTCTCTCCTCTCGCGTTACAGCGCTTGGAGTATGTAATAAATGCCAACAATGGAAAAATAATCGCGATGAAAGTTTCGGGGTCGGAGATAAGAAAGAAAAAACGAATTCTTGCCCTTTTTATTATTATCATTATCATTATCATTATCATTATCATTATTATTTCTTATTTCGCGAGCGAGTTTTTAGGCCTGCTAAAAACAAACCGTAAACGCTAAGCCTGATAAGCAGCGAATCCGACACGTATTTTAGAAGGGACTCCGAACTGAGCTGAAAATTATCTTGCTCCTCGTGAGCTTGCGGGATGAAATACTCGTGCGGATTTTATTTTTTTACTTTTTTTAATTTAGCAGAGTGCTTTGTGCTGATTGAAACTTTATCCAATTTTTTTTCGTGCCAGTCGCTTCGGCAACCGGCCGAGGGTTTGGTTAATTTTGTTTTTTTCTTTTTCATAATTTCTGGCGTGGAGTACACTCGGTAATTCATGTAAGAAGCTTTCGAATAATTTGAATTTTGGGTAAAGACACAGTGAAATGCCGGGATCGGACAAGTTGGAAAATAGGACAGAAAAAAGGAAGTAAGGAAAGACGGTTCTTGTGGGTGTTGCTCTCGTGATTTTATCTGGTGCTTCGATACCCTACTTATTACTCTATAGTTTATGATTTTTCGTTTATTTTTCCATCCTTTTTTTTTATCGTCATCAATATACTTATATAAGAATAAAAAGTAATTGCAAGATTGCTTTCGATTGAAAATTTCTTTTGTTTTGTTGTTCTCTATATTCGCATGTAATATATAATATGTATAAGGTTTAAATTTGCCATCGTTGTCGGACTATCCTAATATAGCTTTATCATTTACTTACAACTTTTTTCGTTTGTCGTTTCGTACACACTTCGTTTTGTAAGAAAAAATAGTCGAAATGATCGCGCAATTTATGTATGATTTTATGGTTTTACTTTTTTGTTCTCGGAGATTTGTCAAATGAACGGATATTTGAATCACAAAATTATTTTATTCGAGACTAATAAGGAGACACAAACTGAACGCCATGTATTGACTAAAGTTATTATGTATAATATCGTTCGCAAGTTTATATTCCTCATAGAGGGTTAGAGTTCTGTTTGTTTTTCTGTGATCATCTTGCGATTACAAATTTCTATAAGTTTACGTCATAGAAATTAGTCATTTCTGCAATGTATACAATAATAGTAATCGCAAAAACGAGCAACGTAAGAATAAGTATTCGTTTTTTTATACATCACCTAAAATATATGACAAATAACAATAGATTTTAATTAACTATTGGTAGAATCATTTTATAAAATCAATGACAATTTCACACACAATTGTAAGCCATTGGCGCGAGCAGATGCAAAAATTGAGGATGCCACGCACGCGTGATGGTTGATTGAAAAATTTGCCGATTCATTACAATTTTTTTCACCTCGTCATCTAATTCAGTTGAGTTCTTCTCCTACACTTTCGCCTCAATTTTTAACGTCTGCTCGCGTCAATTACCGGTACTTTGTATAATATATCGCAAATTTCACATCGTTTATTTCGAACTAGAATTTAATATTTGTATAAGTTTCACAATGGTAATATAGGAACGAGTGATAAATCATGACAATTTATCTTGAATCTAAATGTATATCTTATGTATTCAATAAACAGGGTGTAACATTTAAAACCGAAAATACAGTTGTGTGTCGTATACACATTCGATATCTAACTTCGGAGTGTATAATATGCATAATAAAAGCATTTCGCAAATTTTTTGTTTCACGACCCTCGCCCCCGCGACGCGAGAGCGAAGATGCCTCTGTCGTTTCGCTGGTTCTCTCGCATACTTTCTCATCGTTTTTCTTATTTCACTCTTCTTGTCGACTTTACCTCTCCTAGCAAGGACCCATGTATATAATACGCAGTTACACATACATATAATATATATTTTGAGGAATGGAGCTACAGCGAGTGGAATGTATATTATTTAGGGAACATACAACGACGTGAAAAATATCAGGAGAGATGCAGGAGGATAGTTTGTTCCCATTTGGCGTATATGGAATCGAAGCGAGACACATCGCCATTATAGTTATTTTTTTATTCATTTTTTTTTCGATTTTTGTTAAATTTATTATCGTATATTTTTTTTATGTATAATCATATAAGATATTTGCATCGTGTGTAGTAATAAGAGCTTTTATTATTTTTTTTGCATTTGAGGTTGTTTTGCGAGACGAGTAACTGTGATGTCACGCGATATATATACGAGCAAATGGATTTTTTTCTTTGAAAAAAAATTGATAACGTACAGAGGTATCGACAATTTTGCATGTTTTTTTTCTTCGTGATTATAAGTTATTTAAAATCAAAAAATCTAAAATTAATGTTTCCATTTGCCTGAAAGGTGATACACTCGCCGCATAAAATATTTGTCGACAACATTGTCTCGTTTCTTTTTGCTTTTATTTGATCGAATACCGTCAACGCGTCGAGAGAAATGAAAAAAAGGGAGTGGACACATAAAGTATTACGCGGACATATATATATTGCCAGCATCCCGTCTCAATGATCAAATTCTTTGTATTACATATTCACTGCCTGCCTCTGCTTATTTTTTTTTTATTGTTGCTGCTGGTTACTGTTGTTGTTGTTGTTGTAGTTGCTGTTGCTGTTGTTGCTGCTGTTGCTGTTGTTGTCGGGCATCGTTCCTTTATTTTTTTTCATCCGGATTTGGTACGACCTCCTGGCGTACCTTGTGACCCCGGAAACTCGCCTGGATCTTCGTCGCGGCTTTGTGAAGATCCGGATCCGACAGATCTATGCCCTCGAGCTCGTTCACCGTATCCGTGACCTGTGTGCGACAAACAAGAAAAAAAGAACAAAAATGAACAATCGGCATTACTCGATCAAAAAAAGGCTGCATATTTCACAAGAGAGAGAAAGAACAATTTTTTCCATTTTTTTTTTTTTTGCCAGACAGAAGAAAAATATAATCCTGTGACGCGGGCAATATTATTCGGCGCGCTCGGAAAGTTATTTCACGATATTTTCGCGAACTTTGTTATTTTTCCCGCGTCCGCTTAACGTATGTGCAGAATCGCTATATGTATACGACAAAAAAAACCCTATCTACGCATATCGAAGTCATTCGGTACTATATCCATGGACGAATTCAAATCTTCGGAGAATATACTTAGGGGCTTGGAACTTTTCGAGCCTGTGGGGACTGACGAGCACACACACATTCTACGCACGGCCGAAAGACCTTTGCGCGCTGGTAAAGCCGAGGAATAATTTATATAACAAAATATATTTTATTCACTCTCCCGTCGTTCGCTATTTCGCTTCCTGCCCAAAAGTTCAACGTACCGCTCTCGACTTAATATTTGTTTTTTTTTTTTTTTTATACCTGTCCAATTCCCGTGCCGGACCCGCAGCACATTGACAAAGCAAACAACAGCGCCGATGCGACGATATACGCGGAGATCCAAAAATTTTTCTCCGATCGTCGTGTTCTTTTTTATTTTCCTTCTTTTTTTCTGTCGACTGCATACCTATACGCTGAATAAACTTTCGGGGGATCGTTGCTGCGCCCCGACGATAGACGCGCAGTGTGTATGTATTATCGATGCCCCAGCCAAAATTGATTAAACGTCGCGCTGTTTAACTCTCGGGGCTGAACGGCACACCGCTGCTGTGCACGCGCGATCGAACTCGTTTGCCCTTTTCACCTTTGCCTGACTCTTTCTCTTTCTCTCTCTCTCACTCTCTTTTTCCATCGTGTATTTCTTTTTTTACTTCGTCCTAATGCATCGGTACAAAAGTGCGAGTAAAATCGATGCCTCGCGATTATTATGGAGAGCGCCGTCTGACTTTTTCAATGCGTAATATTACGACGAGGTGCTACGCAATGATTGCTTTAAACATAGCTGCTATATTACAGGCGCGCATAATACACGCGACCCCGTGTGTCGTTCGCACTCCTCGCGCTCGAAAGAGCTCAAAAATCATTATTAGCGTAAAAGCTCTAGGTGCTCAGCTCAGCTGATATACGCCTGTCCGTCTCGCTTCTGCTGTTACTGCTGCTGCTGCTTTCCCTCGAGGGGCTCTTTGGGGCTATTATAAATATATATGGAAGCCACGCCATAGAAAGCTGCGTTATACGTCCACGGTATCTATACATATATACATGAGCTAAGTAGTGCGTCTATATGTACAGAGTAAAGCTCGTATTATACATCTATCCTCTTTTGCACCTGCAAGCTCAAGTCGTACGCCGAAGCTTATAATGCTGCCAGTGGCAGCAGCAGCAGCAGCAGCAGCAGCGAGAAAGCCATCGGCTGAGTATACACACTCACTCACGTACACGCGAACACATAGATATACAGACGCGAGCGAAGCGTGTGCAGATGTACTATATATACCACTACAAGAGTGTCAAGAGAGAGAGCTGCTGCTGCTTGGATCGGAAGATTTTCTCCGTGAATTTTTCACCTATAAAGCGCGGAAATTGACAATGACAAATGCTTCCGAAGAACATTTGCCAGTAGCAGCAGCAGCACTCGAGGAGAGCGAGAGAGAGAGAGGTTGAGCTTTATATACGAAAAGTGTCAAATCGATCGCTGCATCGCCCCGACTAGGTACCTGGTACTACCGCTGCTGGTGCGACTGCTGCATGTGTCAAGGGATTATAATAATAACCGCCTCGCTCGCGCGCGTGCGAATACAGACATACATATATACACGCATAAAGCTTACAAGCTGTAATATGGACGCTTCGAGCTCTCTGCGCGTATATTATATGCATACACATAGGTGTATGTGTGCGAGCGTCTGTGTAGCAATTGTGAAATATCGACAGAAAATCTTTTTTTTTATCTTCGTTACCGTACACATACAGTGTACAGCGAGTTTTAGAAATCGCACACGCGTTTATAAATTGCCCCGTATATGCGAGCAGAGGAACGATCGTATGCACATAACGCGCCGTACGTATGTGTGCACTCGCACTCGTGATTTTTTCTCGTTTCGTTTCTCTATGCGTGTGTTTGTTATATAGCGGCTTCTTGATGATTTATCGCGTTTATCGCGACGGGGACATGAATTATTTTGTTTTGTTTTTTCATTCGTTTTCGTTTGGAGAGATTTTTACGGTGTGCTCGCACCTGCAACAGTCGCAGAAATCGTGTGTGTGTGTGTGCGCGCGCGGAACTAGAACTAGGTTGACGTTTTACTCCTTATTTTTTCGGGAGGACATTTTTATTTGCGCTGACCGAGCAGTTGTATACGTATAGGTGCACAGCGTCGCGTCTGTTGTTGCGCTTTGAGCCAGACCAAGACACAAAGGAGCCTCGAAAAATCGAATTGAACTTTATAAATATGGACGAGAGGTCGAATAAATATGTCGGTCGGATTCCCGTTTTACTTCTCTTTTTTTTTCTCGTCCCGCGCCTCGACATATATATTAACAAGTATAAACGCGAGCAAAAGCCTCGGCTCGGAATTCATTTTTAATACTTGACTATTCATATAATGATTAAAAAAAAAGAAGAAAAACGAAAGTACAGCGAGAGCAAAAGAAAAGTGTGAAAAAAAAGAGTAGCAAAGAATACGAAACGAACAAAAGCAAGTTTTTGCAGAAAACGACGGAAACGAATATATAAGAAACAAAGGGTTCCAAGAGTATGGGGCGCGCGCAAGCTCGTAGCAAACTCAGCCAAGCGATATGTTTGAAAAGAAGCAAAAAAAAAAAAAAGATGAGAGAGAAAGATGGCTTGATGCACATCATCCGCGTGTAGCGGCGGAGACCTTGTGAAAAATCTCGCGAAATCGAAAGAGACGACGCCGACCGTATTTCGCTGTTAGACGCGACCGATCTTTGTTGTTGGCTCGTCCAAGCCCCTCGCGCATATTTTTGACACTTTTTTGAATCGTCGAGCGCGCAAAAGTATCCTACAAAAAAAAAACAATGACAACAACAACAACGACGGAAGAAAAAGGAGTCCGTTTGCCACCAACGCACACATTCACGCACACGTAGACGGTTGAAATAAAGTATATTCACTTGGAAGTGAGCCAAAAAGTAAAATCAAGAATGAGAAAGCGAGCGAGCGAATCCAACGACGAGCGTATGGGCGAATTTTCAGGCTTTTTTTTGCTCCTCCTTACGTACTTTTAACCTGCTCGCGGGAGAAGCGGATACGATGTAGTTTAATGCCTGCCCATAAAGTAAAGTAAGCTTCATTTTTATCCCTGGACTCGAGTTGGGTTATAAGAGAGAAAGAGGCAAGTTGTTCGTAAAACGGATATAATCGGTACACACACGCCCGGGCGTCTGCGATATTACTGGGAAATTTGTCAAAACTGTCGGTAACGCAGCAGCAGCAGTAGCTCTAGCAGCAGTATTACTACGGAAGGACGGGGGCTTTTCAAGGGTGATGTACACGCGCGTCGAGCTCGGAAGGGACAATCAATCAATATGTCCATTTAACACTTTCTCTCCGGGATATGCGCGTAAGTGTGTGTATGTGTGCGCACCCGCGCGTGCCGGAATTCCTCGTTCGCACTCAATTTTCGCGAAACAAATTGATTGTCACGCACCGCGCGGGGGGGTACGGCGGGGCTGTGTAGTTTTTTTCCGCCGCTCCTCGTTCTCGCTCATCGGAAAAATCTCGCGCTTTAATGCAACACGACGTGTACAAATTATATACGTACCAATGCCCGTTTACATTGTAAGAGCTCACCCGCGTGTACACAAGTGTGTGTGTGTGTGTTTCCTTTTTTACACCCTATTTTTGCGCTTCTGGGTCATCTTTGTTAAAAATGCATGTAATATAGCTCTCTACGTACAACACACATACACGCGCGTCCTCAATTATCATGTCTCATTCCCTCGCGCGCGCGTATTATGCATCTGCGAGCGAACTCCGAGGCAATTTTTTCCTCTTCACTTTGCGCGCGCGCGCGCCCGCGTTATATATACATTCGGTAGAAGCAGTAGCACAGCTCGAGAGAGAGCATATTGCACACAGGGCGCATCTCTCTCCTCGTTGTTGTTGTTGTTGTTGTTTTTCTTCTCTTTTCTCCCTGGTGCTTTTTTTTGTGCTTCTTTCCTTCGCTCCGCCACGAAACAACACGTCTTACTTTTCTCTTCTGTGTACTTCGGCGCGGGCGGGCGGGTGAATGCCGCGCGCTTATAATAATGCCGTGCCATCCATCCACCGCGCGGAGTATAACACGGGTATATATAGCGAAGCTCGTTTGCGTGCGTGGGCGCCGCGGCGCGTACATATTTTCTTCCCTCCGTCTCTCTCTCTTTTTCTTATCCTCCGAGATATATATCATAAATAATAATGATCATCGCTCATTTTTCATTCGGTTGTGCAGGGGGGGGGGGGGGGGNGGGGGGGGGGGGGGGGGGGGGGGAGGAGGTGGCGTTATATGTAGCGTATTATATACAGGTGTTTGGGCTCGTTTGTGAGCTCGTGTACCACATGGGGCCGCCGTGACTGGTCCAAATTTGTACCGTAGTCATTTTTCATTGCCACTGATCGCCAAGTACTATGCTTAGCTCGTACTAGATCTAATTTCATCGCGTGCGAATCGATCTCCATTTCGTGTGTGTAAATGTGGGTGAAATAAAACTCGCTCCAAATAAAAATGTAGTTTAAGTGTTTGACCGCGCTTTGGCTTATACTATTATTTTAGCTTTACCACTTGCAGATTTTCAAATAAAGATACTCGCCATCTAGCGGTGGAGATTGATTTTAATTATGACTGAATTTTTCCAAGTTATTGCACGATTACTGGAATTTAAAAATCAAGTATTCCCAAATAAAGTCTTTTATAAGG